CGCTCGCGTGCGCGGCGCCCGCGGGGTGGGCGACGCGCGCGCGGCGACGACTCGCGCGAATGCGCGACGATCACGACGAGAGATCGCGACGGATGCTCCGAAGCGACTCCGAGAGCGAGGCCGAGGCGCACGCGGTGCTCGAGCGCGCGTGGGCGCCCGCGCGCGCGCGCGCGTCGACGTCGACGACGGAGGCGCGCGGGATGGATGCTGGCGATGGCGATGGCGATGACGATGATGATGACGACGACGACGACGACGAGGGACGGGCGAGCGAACGGCCGGGGGGAGACGAGGGCGTGGATGACGTGCGTCGACGGGGGGGGGGGCGCCGGCGCGCGCCGACGCCGGGAGAAGGAAGCCGGGCGCGCGCGGCGCGCGTGACGGCGACGACGAGCGACGACGACGACGACGACGACGACGATGACGGCGCGGGCGCGGGACGGACGCGGGCGCGGAAACGTGAGATCGGTGGGTTGGCGGTGTGGAGCGTGGCGAGCGCGAAACCGGGGAACGGGGTGGAGATGTTGAGAGACGACGATTTGGGAACGTTTTGGCAGAGCGACGGAGCGCAGCCGCACGTGGTGAACGCGCAGTTTCAGCATAAAGTTGAGATCTGCGAACTCGCGATGTGGTGCGAGTATAAAATGGATGAGAGTTACACGCCGAGTGTGATCTCCATTCGAGCGGGGGCGTCGTGTCACGATTTGAGAGAGGTTCGATGCGTCGAGTTGGAAAATCCAAACGGTTGGGTGCGCGTGCGGCTTCGAGGCCCCGACGACGCGTCGTACCTCCGAGCGTACTTCGTCCAGATAGCCATCTTAGCGAATCACCAGAACGGGCGGGATACACACGTGCGGCAGATCAAAATTTTCGGCCCGAGGCGAGACCAAGCGCGCGCGCTCGGACGGTCTCTGCAGCTCGATTTGCGCTCGCCCGCGTTTTCGCAATACGCCGGCGTGCGCTAGGACGCCACGATAGCCACGGTCAAAGAAACAATCGTCGTGAACGAGCGCGACGGGTAGAAATCGCGCACGCGCGACGCTCGATACGGTACACGCCTATCATCATATCAATACAACTCCGCAGTCGCGCGCGCTCACTTTGGCTTCGCGTACTCCTCTCTCCCGAAATCAAAAACCATCGACACCCCGCTCGGCGGCTCCGGGTTCCGCGCGTACTTCGACCCCCCGTACATCGTGGGAATGATGTACGGATCCGGGTGCGCGTACGACTCGAGCGTCTTCTCTCCGTCGCTCAACGCGCGTTCGATCGCGCCGCGATCGACCAACGCCGCGTTCGCCGCGAACGCCGCCCGCACGCGATCGCGTTCCTCGTAAAAGATATTACGATCGACGCACCACGACAGGATCGTTCGTAACGTGTGTCTGCGATCGTTCCCGTCGAAGTCAGTCCCTCACCGCGCGCACCGTCGACGTCCGCGCGCGCTAGGGCACGATCGATCCACACCATCGATCCATCCATCCATCCCTCGCGCGCGCGTCCCGCGCGCGTCGTCACCCGCCCAAGTCCTCCGCGCCGCGCACGTCCCGCACCTGTACAGACGCATCGCGCGCGGTCGCGTCGACGCGAGCGCGGTCATGACGATGCGTCTCGACGCGTCGCGCTCTGCCGACGCCCCATCCAGCGCCGCGCTCGAGCGACGGCGTCACCGCGCGCGCGAGCGGTGGACTCGACGTCCCGCGCCCGTCCCGCGCGCGCCCGTCGCACGCGCGCGCGCGCGCGAGCGTCGACGCGGCGACGACGCGACCCGCCGCCGCCGGATGATGGATGCGATGAAAACGACGACGACGGACGACGCGACGCCCGACGGCGGCGCGCGGGCGCGGGAGAACGTCATGGTGTTCGTCCGTAATCTCCCGTACGACGCGGACGACAAGGCGGTGCTCGATGTGTTCAGCGATGCGTTCGGACCGGTGAAGGAGTGTTGGACGGTGGCGGAGCGCGGGACGGGGACGCGGCGGGGGTTCGGATACGTCAAGTTTGCGATTCCGGAGGACGCGCGAGCGGCGGTGGAGGCGAGTGGAACGATTACGTTGAATGGACGGAAATTGGGGGTGTCCATGGCGCGACCGAAGGAGCGAGAGGGGGGCGAGCGGGGCGCGCGGCGGCCGGCGGGCGAGGACGGGACGGCGACGGACGAAAGGAAAGACGATCGAGGCGGAGAGGTCGGGACGGTGAAGACGGAGGGAACGAACGCGCGAGCGAAGACGCAGAGGTCGAAGGCGACGGCGGGCGGGGGGAAAGACGCGCCCAGGACGGTGGTGATTGGAGGGTTGAAACTCGGCGGCGAAATCGAGGGCGTGGACGCGGACGCCGCGAAAGCGCTCGCGAGGAAGGTTGGCGCGGTCAAGAGCTTTATTGAACCGTGTCCGGAGACGGTGATGAAGTCGGCGAAGATTCGCGAGGACGGATGCAAACGCGGAGCTCTGCTAGTGGTGTACAAGGACGAGGCCACCGCGCGCGAGGCGGTGAAGGCGCTTCACGGCCAAGCGCCCAAGTCTAAAAAGCAGAGGAAGAACAAGAAGAACGACGATGAAAATGACGAAACGCCGAAAGAAACGATTTGGGCGCGAACACTCGGTGGTGAGGGGTCGAAACCGAAGCAGTGGCGCGTGATCGTTCGAAACTTATCCTTCAAGGCGACGGAGGCGTCGATTCGCGAGGCGATGAGCGCGGCGGGTTTCGTGTGGGACGTCAACGTTCCTAAAGACTTTCACGACAAGCCCAAGGGGTTCGCTTTCGTGACTTACACGAGTAAGGCGGACTCGGATAAAGCGGTGAGCGATTGTAACGGCGTGAGCATTGAGGGGAGACAAGTCGCGGTGGACATCGCGTTGGCGAAATCCAAGTTTCGTGAGGAACAAGACGCCGCGGCGAACAACGCGACAGAAGACAAGGATAACGACAAGGATGGTGCGAGTGATGAAGATTTAGACGATGGGAGCGACAGCGATGGGTCTGACGACTCCGATTCTTCCTCGTCGTCCTCATCGTCGAGCGAAAAAGACGAAGAGACTCGCGACAAGAGCATGGTCTCACGCTTGCTCGGTAAGATGATATCCAAGGATCAGCCTCCGAATAAGGTGGCCGCACCGAAGAAGGCGGAGAAGAAAGCGGCAGCGGTGACCGAGGCCAAGGCCGACGGTGTGGAGCCGGCGTGGCAGGGTAAGAAGGGTGTCGACATGCAATCTGGCGACGCGGTCGAGAACGCGACCGTCTTCGTCAGAAATCTCCCGCTCGAGGCGACGTGGCAACAGCTCAAGGAAAAGATGGAAAAATTTGGCAAGGTGAAGAGTTGTCGAGTGGTCAAGGATAAGACCACGGGTAAGCACGTTGGGAACGCTTTCGTGGACTTTACGAACCCCGATTCGGCGAATGCAGCCGTGGAGGCGGGCGCCCAGGAGAGCGCTGGCATTTTTGTCGCCGGTCGTCCGATCACGGTCGCCTTAGCGCTCTCCAAGACAGAGGCACAAGACATGATGGCTAGGCAAGGCTCGAAATATCGTAACGCGAACAAACACAGAGATAATAGGAATCTCTATCTCGCGAGCGAGGGCGATATTCACGAGGCTTCCGCGGCGGCGGATGGCGTGAGCAAGAGCGACATTGAAAAACGACGAAGGGCAAACGAAGAGCGCCAGCTCAAGCTGAAGAATCCAAACTTTTTCGTCTCGCGGACTCGTCTTTCGGTGCGTAACATCCCTCCGGAGATGGATTCCAAGACTCTTAAAAAGATGTTCATCGAGGCGGTGCAGAAGCGCGCAACGCACGCGGCGCCGAAAGTCATGCACGCCAAGTTGTTGTACGACTCGGAAAGAATGGACGAGAACGGAAAGCCAAAAAATAAAGGCATTGGTTTCGTCGAATTTTCAGAGCACGAACATGCTCTCACGGCGCTGCGCGCGTTGAACAACAACCCGGACGCGTTCACCAGAGCTCGACGTCCCATCGTCGAGTTCGCGATTGAAGACGCCAGAGCTGTGCGCAAACTCGAGCTCAAGGCCAAGCGACGGGACGAGATTACCAAAAAGCGCAGCGAAGAGGGCGACAAGCCTCGCGGTGCCGAGCAAGCGGCCAAGCGCGTCGCCGCCAAGGAGAAGAGATCGGGCGAAGGTCCGATGAAGAAGCGACTCCGAGATGGCGACCAAGACAAGCCTCACGCGAGGCCAAATCGAGACACCGACACCGAACCTCGCGCGAAGAAGGGCAAGTCCAAGCGTGAAGACGCCAAATCCAACGCGGCGAGCAAATTGCAACAGCGCGCCGCCGCGGCGCAAAAGCGTGAACGCCGAGATGAGCGTCCGAGTCTGAACGATGAAGCGCCGGGCAGACGTAAAAAGCACATCGCAGAGAAGCGCGACCGCACCGACGACCTCATCGACGCCTATTTCTCCAAAGACTCCGGCACCGGCGGTCTCAAATCTTGGCTCTGATAGACCACATCTACTGTAAAGAATGATTTTTCCTAGCCCGAACGCTTTCATCCGATCCATCCGCACCGCTCGGCCCACGCTCCGTCCCGCTTGAGACCGCAGACCGCGCCGCGCGCGGTCCACCCACCATGCCCCGCCGAGGCGCCCGCGTCTTCGCGGCGCTCGTCGCGGTCTTTATGACCGTCGCCGTGCCCTCAAAAGCGTCCGGTGCGCCGAGTAAGATCCCGGCAAGTCTGTCCCGGAAGGAAATCATCGAAATGCGAGACGAAGTGAAGTCAATGTTCTTCTCCACGCTCGACGCGTATGTGACGCACGCGTACCCCCTGGACGAGCTCCGTCCGATGACGTGTGAGGGCGTGAACGGATTCGGGAGCTCGGAGGGATTTGCGGTGACACTCGTGGACGCCCTAGATGCCATCGCGACGTTAGGGAATAAGACGGCGTTCGAGCGTTCGGTACGGAAGGTGATCGAACACCTCGATTTCGACGTCGACGCGCACGTGAGCGTGTTCGAGATGAACATCAGGGTATTGGGGGGGCTACTGAGCGCGCACATGCTGGCGAGCGACGAGGCAACGGGATTTAAGCTCGATTGGTACGACGGCGAGTTGTTGGAGTTGGCGAGAGAGTTGGGAGAGGCGTTCATGCCGGCGTTCGACACGCCGACGGGGATACCGTACGGGGCGATAAATTTGAGATACGGCGTGGAGGTGAATGAGACGACGGTGACGAGTACCGCGGCCGGGGGATCATTGATTTTAGAGTTTGGAATGCTCTCCGAGTTGACGGGGGACCCGAAGTTCATGCGCGCGGCGGAGACCTCACTCGAGGCACTTTGGGAGCGACGGAGCGATATTGGACTCGTCGGGGCGCACATTGACATTGTAAGTGGGTTTTGGACGCAAGCCGAGGCGAGCGTAGGAGCGGGGATCGACAGTTTCTACGAGTATCTGTTAAAGTCGTACATGCTGTTTGGCAACGAGAGGCATTTAGCCATTTTTGAAGAGGCGTACGCCGCGATCGAGGCGCACGTGCGCGTGGCTCCGTGGTATTTAGAGTCGGGGATGGCGACGGGAAATATCATCACGTCAAGATACGACTCGCTCATGTCATTTTGGCCAGGGCTCCAAACGTTGTACGGCGACATCGAGACAGCGACGACGACGCACGACGCCTTTTTTCAGGTTTGGAAGCACTACGGTTTCACCCCGGAGGGTTTTGACGTACACGTAGGCTCGGCGATTCCCGGTCAAAAGCCGTACCCACTTCGCCCCGAGCTCATTGAAAGCACGTATTTATTGTACAAGGCGACGGGCGACGTGAGCTACATCTCGTGCGGACGTGATTTCCTCGCGAGTCTGAGACTTCTAAAGACCAAGTGTGGCTACGCCCACATGAGAGACGTGGTGACGCAAAAGTTGGAGGACAAGATGGAGAGTTTCTTCCTCGCCGAGACGCTCAAGTATCTATACTTGCTCTTCGATGCGGCACTTGACAGGGAAAACATCATCGATGGCGGCCCGTATCCGTATATCTTCACGACCGAGGCACACATCTTTCCTCTGAAACTGACCATCGACGCGAAGGATGATCGTGTACAACACTCAACGCCGAGACTCGCCACGGCCGCGGTTTCCTTCATGCGATCCTTCTTAAGGGGTGGGGTGACGATGATGAAAAAGTTTGGCGAGGAGGGGACGCACAAATCGGAGAAATTTTGTGCGTACCATTCGTTACTCTGGCAGATTGGTCTCACGCGCGCGCCCGAGCGTCCACATAATCTCACCGAGCGCCTTCACTCGCTCACTGGGCGACCGAACGGCGTGCACTCGAAGAGAAACAGCGTGCACGAATTTTTCAGCCGCATGAAGCGACAGGACCAGACGTTGTTCGTGCGCGTCGGCGTACGTTCTCTCATCTCTGGCGCTGATCAAGCAGCGGTGGCGAAGCGGTTAGCAGTCATGCTCGAGCGCACGCACGATTCCCTTCGCGCGATATCGAAAGAGCACTTCGGCGGTACAACGTGCGCCAAGCTCAATAACTTCCGTTTGGCATCGTCAGAAGGAACGAATGAAAATGATTCATTAGATTTCGAGTTCCGGACGAATATTCCTTTCAACTTGGCCAACGTTTGTGTCAGCAAGGCGATAATGCGCGCGATTAACTTGATGATGCACACGTACGCGAACGAGATCGGAAGCGTGTGGGACGATCCAGTGTCACAAATGTCGTACATTCCCGTTACCGAGTGGAATGACGGTTCCGGCTCGACGAAAGAGCAGGAAGACGACGTCGAAGAAACGGACGAGACGGAATCGGACGAGGACGTCTCCTCAAACTAGACTGGAAACTAGATTACAACGCTTATGTAAAGTAGCGAACCGTAGCGACTAACTCACTTCATCTCCTCCACCGGATTCACCGCGAGCAACTGGACCTCCTCCGCATCCTCTTCGTCTTCGGTGTCCGACCCCTCGTCTCCCGTCGCCGCCGGCAGCGTCCGCAAATCGCCCACGAGGCTCGTCGGCAGCAGACACGGCGCGTACTCCCTCGCCAAGCACCCAATCGTCGCCAACCGATTCACGTATCCCGGAATCATCTTCCCCGTCAACCGCATCACCATCGCCTCCGTGAACGAGTTACAATTCCGCTTCAACAAATCGTACGACGTCCCCGGCCACGCCGCGCGCAACTCATCGATCGCCTCGCCCACCTCCTCCCGCGTCATGTCGATCCTTCCCATCTCGATCGTCTCCCGGTACGTCGCCGGCATCGGCGCCTTCATCGGCGCCACGTCGAACACCCCCGTGATCCCTCGCACGTCGTGGTATCCGAACGCGTACTCGCGTTCCAACACCTCGCACCCACTGTGATGGATTCCCAAGCCACACATTCGCGCCGCGGCGTGCATCGCGTCGTCACCCGTGAGGTCGTACACGTGCACGCGCACCGTGATCGGCGCCGAGGCATCGGCCCACGCGCTCGCGGTCGGGGACGACGGCGACGCGGGCATGGACGCGTCGACGTGTGCCATTCGCGGGCGCAGAATGTGTCTCTCCATGGATGAGAGAATGGGACGACGCGACATTCATCTCCACGCCCGCGCCACCGCGCGCGACGCGAACGTCGATGGGAATCAGGTGCGCGAGGCGAACGACGACGACGACGACGACGACGCGACGGACGCGCGAGACGGGACTGACGACGACGCGCGTGAACGCACCGAATGGATGGGTAGATTCATGCTGCTGGTGAATAAACTCGGACAGACGCGACTGGCGCGGTACTACGACGGCACGCCGACGGAACGAAGCGCGCGGAATCAGTTGGAGGGTGAGATCGTGCGACGATGCCTGGCGAGAGGGGCGAAAGAGTGCTCGTTCGTGGAACATAGGGAGTTTAAGTTGGCGTACCGGCGGTACGCGTCGCTGTTTTTCATCGTCGGATGCGACGGAGAGGAGAATGAGCTGGCGATGTTGGAGTTCGCGCACTGCGCGGTGGAGACGCTGGATCGACACTTTGGGAACGTGTGCGAGTTGGACATCATGATGCATTTGGATAAGGTGCACTGCATCTTGGAGGAGATGGTGATGTGCGGGGAAATTGTGGAGACGAATAAGCTGTTGGTGACGCAGGAGGCGTGTAAACAGATCGATGTGCAAGAGAAGGGGTATCCATAGTGATGAGAATGTTTTGTTGTACATGGGAGTAGTGTGTGTCGACGGCGCGCGCTACGGTCCGTGATCAACGTCGAGGCGAACGAGTCGGTCATCGCAGTCCTCCTCGCGCGCGCGACGAGAGTTCTTTGGGGGGTACCGGATTCGTTGAATAGAGTATTTTACACGTGTAACTAATTATCTAGCGGGTTCGTTGTACAGCGCGCAGAGCTCACGCCAACTTGTCGAAGGATGGCGTCTTGGATAAATCCGACGCGAGCGGCGATCTGCTTCGAGGCTGTCGACGCGCATCAAAGAGACCGACGACGCCCGCCTTGACACCCATGAAGATTATGAAGGCGAACATGAAGAAATATCGCGTGCTCATCCAGAAGATGTCGTACACGCTCTCGCCTCGCTCGCCCAGATGGAGCGCTCGGCGCTTTCGCTTGGTCTCGTCACGGTACCTCGATTGATCGTCGATGAAGGGCGCGAGGAAATCCGCCTTCTTCGTCGCTGTCTTCATGTCAAGCGGGCGTCGAAAACCGTCGCCAAGGTAGTGTACAGTTAGGAATTGCGATACGTGCACCTCGTCCCAAGAGTCCTCCCCGCCGGCGCTGCGCGAGTAACACGACTGGCAGAGACTCTTTGTCGGGAACTGAACCTTTGGATGGGACGGGTCTCCCTTGTTCAACACCCCACCGACGCGCCCACCGTTTAGGGTCTTATCCGACGCGTTCGCCTCCTCCCGTGCGAGTCGCGCGTTCACGAGGTTGTGCGCGTTCCACAGCCAAATCGCCGCCCCGTCGGCGCGATCGACGTATGCGTCGAAACCAGTCTCCGGATTTTCGATGAGTGACAAAAAGTGCGCTCGACACTCCTCACACGGGAAAAAGACACGAATCCATCCCTCAAGTGCGTTAATAAACTCCGCGTTGGAGACTTTTGACAGAGGTACGCGCACCGATATCGCATGCAAGAGCGTCCACAACCCACACGTGTATCCTCGCATGCCCTCGACGCTACCCTTGCAATCGGTCCATCTGGGAACAATCGTCCCCGCAGTCCCGCGCGCGATCCCGCACACGTGCACGTTCGCGGAGAGCGCTATTCGAATTTCATCAGTCGATCGCGACCCGTCCTCGGGCCAACGCTCGTCTAGAGAGGTCAACACGTTGGTCAATCCGCGATAACACGGCTCGAGCGGATGCGCTTTGGACGCGAGCCCGATAAAGTTCGCGAAAGCCTTTCGTGCCTCCGATGTGGATACAAATACCGCCTCCGAAGTCATCTGCGCGTACATCTCCACCGTCGCTCGCTCTATGTCCGCCGTGCTCGCAAACTCGCTGATCACCACCTTGGACCCGTCCGCGTTCACAATTTCTCGACGACTCTCCATTGCCTTTCGTCGCTCCAAGTCGCCCGTCGGCCTCTTCTCTCCCGAAAGTGCACGAGCGTACGTCGTACCCAACTCACCATCCACGAATCTCACCAGATCGTCCGTTTCGTAAGGCTTTCCTTCGTACTTCTTCACATCCTTCGATCGTCGCTCGGCGAACGCGCTCGGCGCTCCGAACAAAACCGTCGGATACCGATGCGCCCCGAACGCCGAGCACAATCCCCCTTCCCTTTCGCAGTTCACCGCGTACGACACCACGCTCTCCTTCACCAATCTCGCCGCTTCCGCGTACTTCGGAGCGAAGTGTTGACAATGCGGACACCACGGAAGGTAAAACTCAACCAGAACCGCCTCGGCGCCGCTCTCCCCGACGTCGCTCAGAGATTTCGAATCTAAAACCTTCACGTCCGTCGATCCCGGACCCGCGGGCGCGGAAGACGTGAGCTTTGTCGCGTGAAACCGACCGTCGACGCGCACTGGGAGCGCGCATCCGAGCGTCGCGAGGGCGAGCGCGCGGATGATCCAAGTCTTTGACGAAAAACCAACATCTTGTGTCTTTCGTCGCGCGACGCGCGCGTGGTTCCGTAAACGCGTCATAAATCGCGTCGAGACGGGCCACCACGCGTCACCTTTGGTCGCACGAACGTGCTCGGCCGCGCTCGGAAACGTTGCGAGGCGATGAGTGTGGATGTGATCAGAGGCGGCTCGGCGGTCGGCGCGCGCGAGTCGGGAATAATTTTTACATCGACCGCGACGCGTCCGCAACGCTCGGGTGATTACGAATCGGTGGAGACGCGTCGACATCGCGCGAACGCGCGCATGGCGGCGCCGAGACCGGCGACGACGGTTCGTGAACCGACGCTCGGAAGGCGCGCCGTGGCGGCGCTCGCGTCTCGCACGCGCCGGGCGGGCGCGAGCAAGGCGTCGCGCATCGATCGCGCGGCGTTCGCTCGCGCCGTGGCGATGGCGTGTTCCGAAGGTTCTCGATCCTCATCGGGCACGTCGCCGGCATCGCACGTCATGGCGTCCGCGCTAGACTCCGTCTCGCCGCTCGCCAGATATTTAGCCAACTCGCTCGCGCTCACCTTGAGCTCCTCCTCGTCCACCCCGGAGCTCGCATCCTCGACTAAAACCTCGGGTACGTCGAACACGTCGCCCTTACGCACGTACTCCACGTCGAAACCGGCGAGATCGGCGAGTAATCGAATCGCCGCGGGCGGCGCGCTCTCGACGACCGGGACGCCGCCCGAAGCCACCTCGCCGACCGCGATCGCCGCGCGCACCGCCTCGCCCATGTCCTCGAACGCCACGAACGCGTTCAATGGAATGCCCTCGCTCGATCGCGAGGACGTCGCGTAGAGCGATTCCGTGGGTTCGTCCAGGTCGAACACCAGGACGTACACCGCGCGCGACGAAGACATCTCTGGTGACTCTGCACCCGCCGCTCGACGAACCATCGCGCCTCTGCTCGACGAAACCGCGGTCACGCGTCCGGACGTCGACGGTCGTTCGCGCGCGCGCGTTGAACCCATCTGAGGCGCGCACGATCGCGACATTCCGCCGTTTTAAGTGCCAGGTGTCGGAAAGAATGCAGAACCAAATGCGTCGCGGAATGACGACACAAACGCGCGCGCTCGACCAAGGGAGCGTTGAAAAACGCGTGAGACGGACGTAAGAATATTCGTGCGATTCGACGGACCGCGCGAGGAGATTTAATTCGCGCGAACCGCGAAGGATGAGCGCGCCAATCATCAATCCGGTGTTCATCGTCTACGGAGTGGTCCTCGCGCGCGCGGTGTACGATCGGCACGGCGCTCGATTGGCCGCAGAATACGACGCGCTGTCCAGACGTTTGTCCAGGTTCTCGCGGAGGCAAGCGAGTCGCATGCGGGGCGCGTTGTTCGATCGAAGAGGCGAGCGGGCGGTGGAGGACGCGTTACGCGACCTGGCGGACGTGAACGGCGCGTTGGCGAAGATGAGCAGAGAGCTCGGATTGGGTGATCTCGGTGGGAACGAGCGATTTCGATGTCAGCTGGTCGTTCGTGAGCGCGCGCCTAGCTGGGTGCCGATGTTTGCGCGACGCGCGATGTGCGAGTGCGGCGTGGACATCGAGCGCGTGCCGGCGAGCGAGGTCGACGTCGCGGTCGCGAGCACGAGCGACCGAGAGCAAAACCGCGGTGGAAGATGGCTTCGCGCGGCGTACGGGTACGTGGCTCAGGACGGTGGCGCGGCAGTGAGTTCGGTGAGCGGCGCGGCAGACGCCGATGACGGGTACGAGATGGTGCACGTCATACGACACGCGACGTTCGACGAGTTCTACGGCTCGCTCAAACCGTTGATTCAGCAATTGGTGGTTGATTTCGAGGCCGAGCTTCGCGGGGCACACGTCGGCGCGCAGCATTCGAACGACGCGGAAGCCGTCGCGGCACCCGGCAATTTGGACGAAGAGGACGAGGACAACATATGTTCCATATGCATGGACGCTCGCTTGCGCGTCGTCGTCAACTGCGGACACGCGTTCTGCGACGAGTGCCACACGCGTTGGTTGCGTGTCTCCATGACGTGTCCGGTGTGTCGCGCCGCACTTCCTCGCGAGACACCCGGCGAATCCGACGCCTCTTTCGCGCTCGTTGATTATGACGACGTCAGAGAAGTCCTTGGCCACGGAGCGCGACGAAACGTCCACGAAATCGCCCACGAATGGCGCCAAGACATTTCTAGTCGAACGACGGAGGAGATCGAGAGCGATTTACGACATCGCGCCGCGCTCCTCGCCGAGCGCATCGGCTGCTTGCCGCCGGCTGCCGAGCGCCGAGACGCCTTCGCCTCGCTCGTCGACGCCGCGCGCGCCGTCGCCGCGATCTCTTAGTCACGCATCACTTAGTCACGCGTTGTATCGACGCCTCGTCCTCTTCGTTTCCATCCAGATGGCCAAACTCTGCGTTTCACCAAAAGGTGCCCGCATTCGCGGCATCCGTCCCGCTCGCGCGTCACACACACTCCACCATTCCGCGCGTCTCGCGCGGTATATCGTCCGTCATGGACGACGTTCTCGACGTGGACGACGACGCGTTCGACGTCGAGCTCGCTGACGTGGAAGTAGACCTCATAGCGCGTCAACGGAGGGAATCGAACGCGTTTTCTCGTCCAGAGTCGAGTTCACCGCATTCGAATCCAGTGACGAATCCATCGACGACGACGACGACGAAGCGACCGCGCGCGAGACCGCACGTGTGGATGGACGTCGTGCGCGATAACGTCGTGCGTGTGTCGTGCTCGCACGAGCGATTGCGAGCGGGATTCGCGGGGAAGTTGTACGCGGCGGTGGATGGGTTCGCCGTCGCGACGCCGGCGACGCCGGACGACGCCGAGGCGGGCGCGGCGTGGGACGTACCGATGCGGCTGGCGAAGAAGGTTCGAGACGCGCTGTGTGCCATGAATGCGTTTGAGCGCGGGTATTCCAGGGCGTTGCGGAAGAACGTGGCGATGGGGGCGCCGCCGGCGAGGACGGCGGAGTACGCGAGCGCGCCGCCGGGATATTGCGGAGTGACGAAACGTGGCGGAGAGGAGGACGAGGAAAAGGCGCGCGTAGAGGTCGATCGGAGGTTTGGTACGATCGCAGGTAACATCAGAAGAGCGTTGTATCCATTCCAGGAGACGGGGGTGAAGTTTGCGATCCGAAGGAACGGACGCGCGCTCATAGCGGATCAGATGGGCGTCGGGAAGACGCTTCAAGCGATCGCCGTAGCGGACGCGTATCGAGACGCGGGGCCACTCTTGGTGATTGTTCCGGCGGCGATGCGATTCGTGTGGGCGGACGAGATCGAGCGCTGGTTGACTGACGTCACGCCGAGGCAGTTGAGCGTGATATTCGGCAGCGGTGATAAGTTTCTCCTAGAAAAGTTGGCCAAGGAAAGTCGAGAGGCGAACTCGGCGGCGGCGACTACGGGCCGTCGCGTCGTCGTATCTTCGTATCACATGTTAGCGCCGCTCTTTGACGAGTTCTTGGAGGTGAAGTGGGGATGTGTGATAGCGGATGAAAGTCACAATATGCACGTCAGCAAGAGCTTCAATGGATCAGAGACGAAGATGACGGAGACGGCTTGGAAGTTGATAAAAAAAGCAAAGTACGCGGTACTCACGACGGGAACGCCGTCGCTCACCAAGCCGTTCGACATGTTCTACCAAATCGATGCGCTCCGACCTGGAATGTTGGGTCAGACGAAATGGGAGTTCGCCGAGTACTACTGTGACGTGAAGTTTGATATGAAAGGTCGATCGGACGTCTCCGGCGGTTCGCGCTTACTCGAGCTTCGCTCTCTGCTCACGCACACGACGATGATTCGTAGACTGAAGAAGGACGTCATGGGCGACTTACCGCCAAAACGGCGACAAGTCGTGCCGATCGACATCGATCAATCTATTGCTAGGGTGGGCGGACCGAAGATTTGGGCAAAGATAGCAAAGGCGGCAAGAGCTCCGCGCGACGAAATGTCGTACGGCGAAGAAGACGATAATATTTTGGACGAAGATGAACGCGACGACGTGGAGTACGTTCTGAACGCAAAGTTATGCAATCTCGAAAAGGGCCGCCGCGTGAGCGTGTCCCAAATCGTCGGTATGCTGAAAATTGCCCCAATCATCGATTGGCTTGAGAGCGATCTCCTGAGGGACGACTCGATGCAATTCGTAATCTTCGCGCACCATCAAGCTGTGCTGGACGCCATCGAACGCGATGTGTGCATGTGCCTCGAGAAACAGAATCGCGGTACCTACGTTCGTATCGACGGCTCGACGCCGTCGGATGAACGAAAGGTGCTGGTCGATAAATTCCGCGAGGGTGCCGCCGTCGGCGCTGACGGAGTTGTCAGCGTGCGCATCGCCCTGCTTTCCGTCAAAGCCGCGGGGACTGGGTTGGACTTTTCCACAGCCTCGTGCGTCGTGTTCGCGGAGCTCCCCGACGATGCTTCACTGTTAGAGCAGGCAGAGGCTCGAGTACATCGGCGAGGTAACGATAGCGGGGTGAATGTGTACTTTCTGTGCGCTCGTGGTGGAGCGTGTTCGCATGATGAAGATCGATGGCAACGCCTGGAGAGTCAACTGGACGTGTGTAAGGAGGCCATCGATGGCGACGACGCGCGAGTGGGATTGGACGTGTCGGCTTATGGGGCATCAATTGAGCTCGAGGCAACAAAGAAGAGCGTGTTCTCGAAAAGTGTCGTCGTCGAATCGTCCACGGTAAAAGATCCGACTTTATCTCCGAGTCGCGTCGAAACCAAACAAGCGACTCCGCTTCAGCTGTGGTTCGAAGTCAGCGCAACGAGCGGGCGCTTACACGCGCACGCAAGCGCGGACGGTTCGGAACCGCTCCACGTGAGCGTCAGTCGATCGCAATTGACTCGCGCGCTCGCTTCCGCCAAGTACGCGAAGGAGCTGCCCGAACCGTTCTCGAGCAATCCGGCCGCTGTCGCCGCGGCGTTGGATTTCTCCAACACGTGGAACGCGATGACGGCGAGAGACAGGAACTCTATACTCGCTCGACAACAACCGTGTCGCGCTAACGAGCTAAACGAGGTCGCCGAAGCTCTGAACTCCAAGGCCGCGACGGCAGCGACGGGATCGACGAGTCGGCACAGTCGATTGGTTCCTTTGCCGAAAGACGCCGACTGGTGCACCGTGCTTGTGTCGGACATAGCGCAAAGAAACCGAGCGAATTATGAGATGCGTGTGCCGTGTCGGTTCGTTCCGGGAACGACGAGGCGCGCGCTTCTGTGCGTCAACTGCGTGGACGAACTTGATCGCGTGTTTTCGGATAGGATCCGACGCGTCGACTTGTTTTGCGGCGAAGAGTGTCTACGAGCGTACGATCAAGGCATGAGCTCCTCAGCGCTTCGTCGTGCGCTCTTCGAAATCGAGCGCGGCGTATGCGTCGAGTGCGGTCTTGACTGCGAAAAGCTTGTCAAACACGTTCGCGTGTTCAAGAGTAGGATGAAGCGCGTCAAGGAAATTTTGCGTCTCGCGCCTGCATTCGAAAAGCGCGGGAATAAGGCGCTCCTCTCTCGTCTTGCGGAGAAGCCCTCAGGCGGACGCGCGTGGGAGTGCGACCATAAAGTCGCCGTGTTCGAGGGCGGTGGTGGGTGCACGGTAGAAAACGCACAGACGCTATGCGTAATCTGCCACTCGAAGAAGACCAAGGAGCAGGCGAAGCAGCGCGCAGCCAAGCGTAAGCGCGACGCCGAGCTCGCCGCGGCACGAAACGCTCGCCCGATAACTGCGCTCGTCGACTCGGACGACTCCGAGGACGACGTTAGCATCGACAATCTCGCGCCGCCGCCGACCTCGAGGAAACCCCAAGCCCCGGCACAGACGGACATTCGAGACTTCACCGTCGTGCGACCGCTCGCCAGCGATTCGGACGACGACGACGACGACGACGACAGTCTCGCCGAACTCATCGTCCCCGCGTTCTCGTCCAAGAGGCCCATCGTCGGTCACGGGCTCGCTCTCCCGCCTTAGCGCCCATTTTCGTGTAACATCACGCGTCATCGACGCGCGTCCGTCGTCGCTCGCCTCTCCGTCGCGCCCGCTCCATGACGCTCGCCCCTGGGATCTCACTGGAGAACCAATGAAAACATCAGATCGCCGCGCACGTCGCCCCTCCGTACCCGACCGAACCCGTCCGTCCCCCCCCCGCGACGAACGACATGTCGTTCTCGCGAACGGACGGTGAGACCGCTGAGAACCTCCTCGGGAGCGTCAAGAAAGTCTCCGGTCCCGTCGTTTTGGCTGAAAACATGCACGGCGCCGCGATGTACGAACTCGTGCGCGTCGGTGGGGATAAATTGATCGGTGAGATCATTCGTCTGGAGCGGGACACGGCGACGATTCAGTGCTACGAAGAAACGAGCGGTCTCGCGGTCGGAGACCCGGTGGAGCGGACGATGAAGCCGCTGAGCGTGGATTTAGGTCCGGGGGCGTTGGAGAACATCTTTGATGGGATTCAACGACCGTTGACGACGATCGCGGCGCGAAGTGGAGATTGTTTCATCCCGCGTGGAGTGGACGTGCCGGCGCTGGATGAGAGCAAGCTTTGGGAGTTTGTGAGCTCGAGAAGTGGGTTCAAGGTTGGCGATCACGTGAGCGGAGGCGACATCTTCGGGAGAGTGCAGGAGAATTCGTTGATGGAGCATCGGATGATGGTGCCGCCGAACGCGAAGGGTAGGGTGACGTACATTGCCCCGGATGGTTCGTATGACGTGAACGAAAAGGTTATCGAGATTGAGTTCGGTGGGGTGGTGAAGGAGTTTTCGATGAAGCAGCAGTGGCCGGTGCGCGCGCCGAGGCCAGTGGCGGAGAAGTTGGCGGCGGATTATCCGTTGTTGACGGGGCAGCGTGTCTTGGACGTGATGTTTCCGTCCGTTCGCGGAGGGACATGCGCAATTCCGGGGGCTTTCGGGTGCGGGAAGACGGTGATCTCCCAGGCGTTGTCCAAGTATTCCAACTCGGACGGGATCATTTACGTCGGGTGCGGTGAACGTGGGAACGAGATGGCGGAGGTCTTGTACGATTTCCCCGAGCTTACGATGACGATGCCCGACGGTCGGGAAGAGTCAATCATGAAGCGCACGACGCTCGTGGCCAACACGTCTAACATGCCCGTCGCCGCGCGGGAGGCTTCGATTTACACCGGGATCACGCTCGCCGAGTACTTCCGAGACCAAGGCTATAACTTCTCCATGATGGCCGACTCCACGTCTCGGTGGGCCGAGGCTTTGCGGGAGATCTCCGGTCGTCTCGCGGAAATGCCTGCGGACAGCGGTTACCCGGCGTACCTCGGCGCTCGCCTCGCGAGCTTTTACGAGCGCGCCGGTCGCGTACGATGCCTCGGGAGCCCGAACAGAGAAGGCTCCGTCACTGTCGTCGGCGCGGTGTCGCCGCCGGGTGGGGACTTCTCCGATCCCGTCACCTCCGCGACGCTCGGGATCGTTCAAGTTTTCTGGGGCCTGGACAAGAAGCTCGCTCAGCGAAAGCACTTTCCTTCGGTGAACTGGTTGATTTCATATTCCAAATACAGCAATGCACTGGAGCCGTTTTACGACAAAACCGATCCGGAGTTCGTGCAGCTTCGCGTTGTCGCGCGAGAAGTCTTACAAAAAGAAGACGAATTGAACGAGATCGTGCAGCTTGTCGGGAAGGATTCGCTCGCCGAGTCGGATAAGGTGACGCTCGAGACGGCGAAGTTCTTGAAGGAAGATTTCTTGCAGCAAAACTCCTTCACCGAGTACGATAAATACTGTCCATTTTACAAATCCATTGGGATGCTGCGAAACATGATTCGTTTCCACACCCTCGCAACCGCCGCTGTCGAGCGCGCGGCGACGACGACCGACGGTCCGAAGATGACGTTCAACGTCATCCGAACGCGCATGAGTGAGCTGATGTATAGAATCGCGAGCATGAAGTTTGAGGATCCAAAGGATGGCGAAGACGCCATTCGCGCTCGCTTCTCCGAGCTCGAGCAAGACATCGTCTCCGCCTTCCGCGCGCTCGAGGATGAATTCAGATGATCACGATAGTACGTACATTAGCTCTCACCATTATAAAACACACACGATTTGGCAACTTACGCGTTGGTGACGTCGATCTCCGTCGCACCGAGCGCCGCGAGATCGCGACCGAGCGCGGATGATTTCTCCGCAAATTCCTCATCCGATAGCACCGCTCGAACATTCGCGGGACGCCACGAATCGATATTAATCCACGATTTACACCCTCCGTACCTCTGTTCATCCGGCGGTAGCGTCAAGGCGTCGGCAACTTCGTACGCGCGCAACTCCACCACCGTGACCTCGTTCGACGGCTTGAAATTCGCCCTCTTCGCAAACAAATCTTTCGGCCACCCACTACTCTCGCTAAACAAAGCGAAGCACGCCTCAGCCGACGACGCCGGGACCCGCCACGCCCTGGTAGCCGTCGCCGTCAATCGCATCGACACGCTCTCGCCCGCCTTCATGTCCCCCGCGCGCGTCCCCTCCGGCGCCCCCGCGACGTCGGCGTGGAAATTCGTGGGAAACAAAGCGAAGTGACGTCTCTCCAGCCTGAACGCGCCCTTCGCGTCGCGCACTCCACCCTTTCGAGCGATCGCGATGTGTTCACCCGTCATCAACGCGTCGCAGATTAACGACCACTCCTTCAACGCCACGTCCACCGCGGGCGCGTCCGCGGACGCCCGCGCGCGCATCCATCGTCGCGCGCCGCGACCGACGCCGCGCACCGCGCGCGCGGGCGACGGCGTCGACGCCGAGCGCATGGAGATGCGTTACTCACTGACGCTCGAGCGCATGTCACACGCCCTCTTCGCGTGGTTACGACGCGCGAGCGGCACCGCGCGCGTCGTCGAGACGCCCGAGGATTGTTACGACGGTGAGGTACTGTACCGCGCGTTCGAGCGCGCGGTGCGAGGGACAGAGGACGCGGAAACCGAGGATGAAGAGGTGGATTTCATTCAAAAGCTCTCGGGACAGCTCACAAAGGAAGGCGTGCGCGACGGCACGGCGGCGCTGAGAGCGCGCGACGCGAGAGGGACGATGCGATTGGTACGCGAGATGTACGCGGAGTCGCTGCGACGGCGTATATCGGCGTTCGCGGTGGATCGGGAACGGGCGGGGGGGGAGACGGCGGATTTCGCGCGCGCGAGCCCGCGAGCGAGAGCGAAGCGGGAAGAACGGGCGACGGCGACGACGACGACGCGAACGTCGGGTGAATTTGAGGTGGAGGAGAACGACTTCGAGGATGGCGACTTCGAGGATGGCGAAGCGGATATGGAGGAGGACGTGGACGCGGCGGACGAACTGGACATGACGCACGACTGGTTGACGTTGGCGTCGCCGTCGCCGCGCGGATCGAATCGCGATCGAACGTCGCCGGCCTCGTCGCCGTCACCGCGCTCGGCGTTCGTGAGCGCGGCGGATATGCTTCGTGAGTTGAATCTGAACCAAGGCGTCCGGAGCGGTCGGGAGCCGAAGACGCTCACGAGGACGCCGCCGCCAGTGCCGAAGACGCTTCGATTATGGAAATCAGAGTCGCCCATAGATCGCTCGAGGAAGTCGCTCAAGTGGGAGATCATCTTCGATGAAGATGAATCAAAGACGATGAGGCGGCTGGTCCCATCCTCTGACGAGCGAGGCGGAGGCACGTCGACGAGGTCGCGTTTACAGGTCGCCGCGGAGCGTCGAGGCCGACTTACGTGGTCGTCCAAGCGAAGTCCGCGAACACACAGCGCGTCATCGCCCGAGCGTCGTAGAAGCGACGTCGGCGTTGCGCCGTGTTACGTACCCGCTCGTGCGCCGTCGAACAAGCGCATCATTCGAAGCGCTCTTCGATCGCTCCTCGGACCGCCGGATATGAGTGAGGCGTGCGCCAGAGCCGTGCGAGCCGTCGACTCGTGTGAGCACTCGACAATCGTGTTACTGCTAAAGGACATCGTTCCGCGCAAACTTCGTGGCGTGTACGCCGTCGTCGCCGAGGATGCGCTCGTGAAGATTTATGGTTCCGGTCCCGAGTTCATCGAGACGGCTGAATCCAGCTCCGTCGCAGAGTTGCTCAAATACGACACCGTTTCGACCACGTTCGAGTGTTTACCCGGAAATAGCCTCACCCCAACCGTGACTGCGATCACCCTCGCGCGTTAACGATTGCGTCTAGTTGTAAGATTACGTATTGACAGCGAACAATACGCGAGAGTGGACGGTTGACATCGAGCTAAAAGGTGGGAGTCGGCGCGAATGTCTTGTGACTTTCGTTACAAGCCTAACGCGAGAGGAAACGCGCCTAGGAAACATCCAATCGTGACCCCGGTGGTCGCACCCACGATCTTGGCCAATCGCACCGACGTCGACGCGCGCTGGACCTTGTTCAGAGCGGGCATACCGAACCCGAGCCTATCCGCGAAGGCTTCGATTTTGCTCGAAAGCCCGATGCCGACAATGTCGCTCACCGTGTTCCCGCACGCCGCCGCGGCCATGGTGCTCAGACCAAGACCGACCCCGAGAGAGGTCTCGATGCTCTCCCCAGCCAAAATCATCACCGAGTTATCCATAAATCCGAACCCTATGAACGGCACCGCGCTATTCAGCGCCACCGCGCGAAACTGGGCCAACGCGAGCGTCGCCCGTCCCGCTCCCGTCTCCACACCCTCTCGTGTGCTCCCGTCTCGACTCAACGCCATCATAAACTCCCGCTCATCCACCATACCGTCTTCGTTCGCGTCCATGCTCTCGAACACCTCGCTCGCGCCGCCGCCTCTGTTTTCCAACAACGCCGCCGCCGCCGCCCCGCGCACCGTCGCGTCCTCCAGCACCGCCTTCCGCACGATCGCCGCCCGCTCTCCCGCGTCCAACGTCCGCAGCATCTCCATTACCGACGTCATCCCTCCCGTTCGTCCCTCGCCCGTCGTCGAGCCGAACGAACGCGCGCGCACCGCGTCGCTCGTCGATGACTTGTCATCATTCGCCAACCACATCCGCGTCGACGACGCCTCGCGCGACGCGCCGCATCGCGCGACGCGCGCGCGCGCGACCGAAAGAATTTCTCCCGACCCCCCGAGCGTTCGAGCTCGGTCGACGGCGCGACGCATCCGTCGTGAGGTGACGATCTTTTCGTGATGTGCGCTCGAGCGCGTCGCCACTCGCGCACGCGTTCGATCGAATGGCGCGCGGACTCTCGCGCGAGCTCGCCAAGGAGAAGGCGCAGAAGAAGGCGAACGCGAACGCGGCCAAGGGAAATAAGGAGGGGCTGACGCCGGCGCAGCGCGCGGAGCGCGACGCGAAGATTTTACAAGAGAAAAAGGCGCGGAAGGAGGCCGAACGCGCGGCGCTCGCGGCGAGTGGCGCCGACGGCGCGGCCGCGGTCGCGGCGGAGGAGGCGAAGAAGGCGGCGATGCGCGCGAAGCAGCGAGAGAATAAGTTGAACGCGGCGAATCCGTTGTTGGCAAAGCAGAAGAAGTGATGACGTGGAACGATGACAATCTTTGGACGCGGACGGGGCGGAGACGACGAAGCGAGCGGTGAAGGATCAATAGACGCGCGATGGTGACGACGGAAGAACGCGCGGGGGGTCTCGAGCGATGATTCGCTTCGGGTTGGATTTCGAGCGCGTTCGATCGTATGTATCGATGACGTATGTATGTAGCGACGGCGACGACGACGACGCGGATGATGTGAGTGCGATGCCAGAAATGTTGCCAAAGACGAGACGAGACGAGACGAGAACACGACGACGACGACGACGACGACGTGAGAGAGAGCGCGACGCGAAACGATGACAAAGAAACGGGCGGTGCGAAATGGTGATGATGGACCGATGCGAGCGGCGAGCGATGCGGCGCGACGGACGCTCGCGCTCGAGGCGGAGCTCGCTTTGAAGGCGGCGGATGAGGCGCGATTGGCGACGCAGCTGGAACGCGTATCCAGAGAGCTCGAACGAGTGAAGGAGGCGCATGAAAATGCGCGAACCGCGCGTGAGAACGATTGTGCGAGCAGAGATGAGGTTATACGCGCGCTCGAGCGAAGAGTGCGCGAGATCGAGGGTGAGAACGTGATGTTGCGAGCAGCGAGGGACGAAGCGGCGGAGGCGCTCGATAAGAGCGCCGCTGAGATGGACGGTCTCATCAGAGCGTCCGCGATCGGCTTCGGGACGATGAAGGTGACGAGCGACGACGACGGGAACCTCACAAAGCTCGAATCGGACGCGATCGAGGCCGCTATGCTCCGCGCGGCGAACGAGCTTGTCGAGGCGAAAGGCGAAGCGCAGGTCTCGCGCGCCGCGGTTGCTCGAATGGAAACTCAGTGCAAGCTCATCGAGCACGACCACGAGCTCATCAAACACAACATGGCCGAGATTACCAAAGTCTTGGCCGGCAAAGACGACGCGAACGCCCGTCAGGCTGCTCGCTTACACGACCTCGAGCGCGTTTTACGAGAAACAGTCGCGATTTGCGAAACCGCCCGCGCCGCCGGCGCCGCGGATCGAACCGAAACCGACCGTCTCCGCTCGGCGCTCGAGCGCACACGCGCCGAGAAAATCGCCCTCGAACGCGAGCTCGACGCAATCGTCATGCGATGATCATCATTCTCTTCTCAACCACCTCATGAATCGTCTTCGATCCGCCTCTCTCGCGCGAGAGTCCACAGTTGCTGACGCTCGAGATTGCATCGATTTTGTCTCATCTCGCCATGTCCGACGCCTGGTGGCGCCCGATCGCGGACTCGTTCGCGTGGTCCGCGACCGCGACCGCGACCGCGTCTTCTGCGCCCGCGAACGAGGCGAAGGACGCGTTAAACGGGCTCTCCGAGGAAGAATTCAGGAAACGAGCGATTTCACGAATGGATGCGTCGATGCGGGCAAAGTACGGTCGAGGCGCGACGTATAACTTTAAGCTCGTTCTGCGAGGTGACACCGCGACGGGAAAGAGCACTCTGTTGCGGCGTCTGCGGGGAGGGACGTTTGTTGCGACGTACGAGACGACGAAGGAGATCAAGACGGCGCACGTGAGCTGGAGGGCGAAATCGTGTCCAGAGGATAACGTCGCGTTGGAGGTGTGGGACGTCGTTGATCGAGCGCCGAAGCGGAGTGTGAGCGAGAATTTAACGCTGGCGAAAAAGGCGAACGCGGCGAATGAAGGCGCGCACACGTTTCCGCTCGATGCGACGGTCGTGGACGTGTATCGAGGGGCGCACGCGTGCGCGGTGTTGGTCGATCCGTCCAAGAGGTGGACGTTTGATTACGCGATGCGAACGTTGGATGAGCTGCCTAAACACATACCGAGCGCGTTGATTTTGAATTTTAGGGATTATCCCGACGATAAGCGCGTAATCACGGCGGCGGAGGCGACGGCGGCGGTGCAGGACGCGTTCGGCTCGCGGCCGTTCACGCCCGTGGTCATCGAGACGTCTCTGTTGAATTGTTACGGCTTGGTCTCAGTGTCGACGTTTTTACACGTGCCATTTCTGTGTCTGAAGCGCATGGCTCTCGAAGAAGCGCTAAAGGCGAATACCACGGCGACGGTTCAGGCGCAGGAGGCTTTGGAAAAATTCAAGGAGGCTTCGTACGAGGCGTACACGCGAAAGCTCGGCATTCATCAGCCAACCCCAGAGGAGCAGGAGGCGAAGGAAAAGGAGGAAAAAGATAGAGCGTCGAACGGGACCGCGACCTCCGAGGCCCCGGCGGAGAGTTCGCTGAGCTGGAACAAGTTGAGCAACATGACGATCGGTGAGATCCCGCTGTCGCTAGCGGGTGCCGCGCTCTCGTCCACGGCGAGCGCGGTGAGCACCATCGCGCGAAAGACCCCGGCGGAGCTCTCGGCGGAAATGGCGAATAATTTGAAGAATTTCGCGAGCTTGGGCGGGGGCGGGGCAAACGGACAAACGGATGCGGGCGACAAGAACCCCGCTTCGAACGATCTTCCACCGCAGTTCAGTCACTTGGGTCCGGGCGGGATCGAGCGCGCGGCGTTCGGCGGGCGCGACATCGCCGACGAGGATAAAGCCGCGATAGATAAGATGATTCAAAACAAAGGCGGCGACGACGGACAGTGGCTCGACGACGACAGCGACGATGACGAGGAAAACAACGGTCAGAGCGATGAAGAAGAGGACGTGGGGCGCAACGTGAATCTCAAGATGGATGGCTGGGACGACGAAGAGGACGACGACGACGACGCGGAGAAGATGGATCCAGATTCCCCGGCGCATTTCATTCGACAGATACCTAAGGAAGATCCTTTCTTCGGTGTGTCCGATGAGAAGACAAAGAATGGTAAGCCGCCGCTATCACCGATGCCGCCGACGGCGATGCAAGACCTCGATCCCGAGCGCCTCGCCGCGGCGTTTGATGCGGCGTCGCCGCCAAGTCAGGAAGACTACGAAACACTCGAGGACCCGCTCGGTCTGACGCTCGCGCGCTCCGCGAGTGGGGTTATGGCTTCGAGCGAAAGTGAGAGGAAGGAAAAGAAAAAGAAGGAGAAAAAGGAAAAAAAGAAGGAGAAGAAGAGTGAAAAAAGCTCGAGCAAGTCGAAATCGTCGCGACGCGTCGATTGGGACGAGAGCGATTAGAGTGCAATCACCAATTCAATCTCTACAACACAATCGCTAATCCTGCGCCACGAAGCTCAGGTCGACATCGAACCGCGGTTCGGTGAAGTTTGTTCGGCGATTCACGTACCAGACGACGCTGAATCTTTCACCTTCATAGCCTCTTACCCAATGCACACATCGTCCGTCGAACCTCGCGAGTCGCTCGCGAGTGTCGATCGCGTATCGAGTCAACCCATCAGAGCTCTCGACGCACAGTTCACCGCCTCCCGTAAAATCACCGAATGCCATGGCGTACTGAAACGACTGGTCCTCCTTGTCCAAGTGCGCAGAGGAAATGAAATTTTTCGTAATCGCCAAGGAATCGTACGGAAACGATGGATCGACAGCTCGCATCAAATCCTCGCAAGCGAGCTTAAGCGACTCGTACGGGTCGCTCGGCGAGCACTCTCTCTTTAAAACTATGTAATTATCGCTCTTTACCGAGCGTCGTTGCGATTGGGCCGGCCACTTGGTGTCGAACAACTCGTCGCGAAGACGCTCTGTCGCCGTGCGATCAACTTCGACGCCTCTTAAAGCGACGTACGCGTGCTCGCGCTCGAGTGCGTCTGTCACGAGCTCTTCGCTTGTGATCCCGCGATCAAGCGCCCGACGCTCGAGCGTCTTGGAAGTCCACGCCATAAAAATATCTCGCTCGTTCGGGTGCTCGCCCGCCTTGAGCTCGCGACTCTTCGTCGGCGTCTTCGCCTTGTCACCTGCATGGCGCCGAGTCGCCGGGAGCACTTTTAAAACCATGATAGCGCCACTGTCCTCGTCAACGATTTCCGTGCCGTGCATCACCAACAACGCCTTCGCTTCTCCCGGGTCCCGACACGCGGCGAAACCGTAACCGACCCACTCACCCTTTTCCTTATACCCTCGCGCCTTGAACACGCGCGCCTGCGGCACGGGAATCCCCTCGCACCCCTCTCGAGGCATCGCGCGCCAAATTGCGTCGCGAAACCCCTTGAACGAGCGAAACTTCCCTCGAAGTCCACCGATCCAGAGCTCGCGCTCGAGTGCGTCCTCGTCGCTCGCCCACGTCGCCCGCTCATTCCTCCGTCTTGCCGCGCGCTCGCGTCTACGTTCGTTGAGCGCGCGGACCTCGTCTTTCGTCATGTCCTTTTCCTTCTTTCGTTGTCCGCCTTTCGTGACGCCGGTGCCGGATAAGCGAGCGAAGACGACGCCGAGCTCAGACTTGCTCGCCCGACGGCTGGCGCCCTCGACTTGCGTGGACGCGCTCGACGTCGACGCGACGTCGTTGACGTCACCGCACGAAGCGTCGTCGGCGCGTAAGTGGCGGAACAGCGCGTTTCTCGACGCGAATGTTGCCCCGCACGCCGAACACGAGATTTCCGACATGCCTACGGAGTCGCCGCCGCCGCGAGGACTGAGGTCGCGTTCGTCCGCGAGCGAGTTGACAATCACGAGGACGATAATCCGTTCGCGTTCGCGACGCGCGCGTCGTTCTCACCCTTTGAAGATACGTATTCCACCTCTCCATCGTTCGTCTTCTTCCGTCGTTTCTTCGATGTCTCTTCGTCCGCGACGACGTCAGCGAACGTCCGCTTCGACTTCTCGCGCGTCTTCGCCTCTTCATCCATCTCCTTCGCCTGCGCCGCCATGAGTCTGACGTCCGAATCGTAGCGTTTTAAATCAACTTTTTCAACCTCTCTCGGACGTTTGTTATTCCTCGGCGTCTTCCCGCTCCCCGGGGGCTTCTCCACGCTCGACCATCGACTCAGCGGCGTGCGCGGATGCGCGTCTCGCTCGCTCTCCGCGCCGGGCACAAGATGTTCCTTCTCTTTCGCTCTCGACCCCGCGCGTTCGCACGCGGTGATCCAGGACGGCGTGACGATGAAAGCAGACTCGCATCCCGCGTCTTTCATGCGTCGACGGAGACGTGGTAACCCCTCGGCGTCGTTTCCAGCTCGAAAAACGATGTGCGTCAAAGAGTTCGTTAGACGATCCTTGAACGTTTTCGCGCCCATTTTCACGAGTTTCGAGGCGAAAACGCCCGAGCAGTCCACGCCGTCGTTCGTGCGCACGGCGACGAAAGCGCGGACGCCGGTGAGGGGTTTGGGGGACATTTTACCGACGCGATGTGCGGCTCGAGGGGAACTTTGGGTTCGCGAGACGCGCGGTGAGAGGCGTCGTCGGCGTGTTTTCGTCTCAACGGTGACGATTGACATTATCCTAGTGCGCTGAAGTGGAGAACAAATATTCGTACGCGAGCAAGTGGAGAAGAACGAGGTAGGAGCCGATGATGAAGCGACGGTGACGAAGGATGGTTTCGAGCCTTCGATTCATCGGACGCTTGTATGCCAAAGGTTCCAAGACGTCGGTGGCGACGTTCGCCGAGCCGGCGACCGGCGTCGCCGTCCCGTGCTTCTTCTCCATCGTCGTTCGCCACGCTAGGTCGGTGAATCGTCGCGTGAGCGAAGAAATCTCCTCGTTCTTTTTTAGCACCAATGCCTCGGATTCGGCGAGTCTTCTGGCAAGCGCGGATGTCGATGCTTCTCTAGGCGCCCCAGTCGTCGATCCGTTCGATCGCTCGGCGGCGAGCGCAGCGAGCTCCTGACGTGCGTCCGCGAGCGCGGTCTCGGCCTCTCGCGCGCGTTGTTCGGCCGCCGTGAGATCGACTACGGCGTCGCCGCCGTCCGCCGCAGCGTGATTTTGTCGGGATTCGTACGCCTCCTTGGCCTGCGACGCCGCCGACATCGCGGCCTGAGCGCGCTCCTTCCAAACGCTCTCCGACGCGCGAGCGGCGAGCAAACTCTCCATCGTCGCCGCCTCGCTCGCTCTCAAACGCTCTATGTCGCGCTGCGCCTCGCGCAGAGCCGCGCGCTCGCGCGTCAAATCCGCCTCGAGCATTCGCTCTCGTTCAAGACCACCGTCGGTCTCCACTCGTGACGCGCCGTGCGAGCTCGTCGCGCTCGAAATCTGTCGTATTAACTCCTCCTCCTTCGCCTCGAACGCGCGCGTGAGGTGCGTTAACCGTCCCTCGGCTCGCTCGAGCTCGTCGCCAAGGCGCTCGATTTCTTGCTCCAGCGTCGTCACGCGCGCCTCCGCCTCCGCGCGCGCGTGCGCGCTCTCCGCGTGCGCACTCTCCGCGTTCGACCTCGCCTGTGCCGCCGCCTCGCGCTCCTCCTCCGCCTCGCGCCTCGCCCGCTCCGCCGCCGATTTCTCCGCGTTCGCCGACGCCGTCGTCGACTCCGCCTCGTTTCGCGTCTCCCGCAGCGCGCGCTCCAACGCCTCCCGCACATCCCTGTGTCTCGCGATCCGCAATCGCATCCGAGCCAACCTCGATGTCCCTCGCCCACGCCCACCGTCCTCGTCGCTCTCGCTCGTCCCATCGCTCTCGCCGTCCGTCTCGTCTTCGCTCGACGCCTCCGCGCGCGCCAGCCGCGCCCGCAACGTCTCATTCTCCGCTCGAAAACTCTCCAGCTCCGCCCGCGCGATCGTCAGCGCCGTCCCGACCGCCGCCGCGTCCGTCCCATCCGTCGTCGTCTCCGCCTCGCGCGCCCGCGACGTCGCCAGCGCCTGTTCCAACGCGATCTTCTCTCGCTCCAGCGCCTTCCCCTTCGCGATCGCCCCCGCGAGCTTCCGTCGCAGATCCACCGCGCGCGCGCGCGCGTCGTCGTCCGTCGCCATCGTCCGCGGCCGCGCGCGCGCTCGAACGCGGCG